ACCGCTACTTATGCTAACTACTTCCTGTCAGAGAGATTAGAGAGCAGGATGATCCCACAGGCTGCCAGGCCGTTTCTCACTTCGTAACGCCAAACGTTTAGGATGGCTCCACCATCGCATTCAATAAGTCTCATTACACATAGTGATATATCTGAACCGGTGTCACGGCAAGCTGATACGAGGAGAGGGAGAGTGGTTATAGCCATCTCTCAAAGAAATCTCCCACTCTCCTGGTGTGCAATATCGAATGTAAAGACATATTCACAGCTCTAATCATCAGGAGAGATATGACTATGGTATCTAAACACTTCATCTCACCCTTCGCAGGACCCCTTATTTCCCCTTACCCTAACACAATCCTCAAAAAAAACGAGAGGGCAGAAAAGGCAGGAATGCAAGGAAGGGACATGGGAGAAGGAGCCCAAAAAAAGCCCAGAGGAAGTTCAGCATCCTGTGTTAAATCACGTCTGTTTCCTAATGAAACCTGCAGCCCATTGTCAAACCGAAGCCATCTCCCTCTGGTCACCACAGCCTGCATTATCACAGAAAGGACACACAACTCAAACAGCTGAGCAACTAAAAGATTAAAAGTTGTTCACACTTCTAAGTCAATTCTAATTGAACTGTATAATCCAAATAGAGGGGTAGATTACTTTCTAGCAAATGTGGGATGACGACATTTCCCCAATTCCCTATTGATGTGAATGTAGGTCACGGCAAATACAAAACACACATTTTATTTGACACCCGGGAAGTTTGCTGGGGTTTGCTGGCTCAGCAGACGGAAAGAACTGAAGGCCTCTCACTGGAAACAACCACAGCACTATCGGAGTCACACTACACCAATTAGTTTGTTCAAGTTCTATTTATGGAACTTTGAACACTCGGCGTACATGAACCATTAGAAAGTGAACAATGTGTGCTTCAATGGGTTCTTTTCTTCTCTCAAAGCCTTGCCACGTGGCTGGAGGAGTGGGTGGTGTCAGAAGTCAAGAAGTGGATGCCAATACTTTTAAAAAAGTAAGATGATATAATACAAATATTTTCCACAGAATATATTTGGATGAAAAAGGGAGTTACAGATGGGGGGGGGGGGGGAACGGAAAGAAGGGAAATAGGGAGTTGACAGAGGGAGAGGGAGGAGGATGAAGAAGGCAGAAGAGAATCTAGCAATGACGGCAGCGACCAGAGAACAACATGCCAAACTCCGGGAGTCATTTCCTGCTTCATCGAAGACTTTTATGGAATTCTAGCAGCATGGCTAACGTCACAACGAGAAGGAAAGCCAGAGGGAGAGAGAAAAAGCTCACTCCCTTCTTCCCTCCCATTTTCTTCTCCTTCGAATCCTCTACCCTCAGCTGTCTTTTGTGAGGCTAAGCAGAGCAAATGCAACTGGTAACATCTAAGAGTGCAACAACATTCTTACAAATCCTTTGCTAGCTACTCATTCCAATACTTTCTTTTTCAAGAGTTTGCATGACAAAGCTTAAATGTGTCTTTCTTTTATAACAGCAAGCTTAACTGTCTGACTCGAGAGACAAGGAAGAACCATTATCACAAGAAAATAGCCTTTCCACCTCAAGCCTGTGCAAAACAGCAATGCATTTGTGTAAAACACTGATAGCTTAAGCACTTACTGTACGTTTTTAAATCCAATACATCTGCCGCCTGCTAATGTTGTTTGTGAGATGTTTGCTTTCCTCTCTAAATTGCAAGATTAGCTTTTAGAGAGGAGGGCTCCACTTTTGGAGAACATCAACAAAGTCGGAGAAAGCAGCGGTGATGGTAAGCAAGGGGGGGATGAAAGGATTTGTAGTGGGGGGGGACCAGGGGGTGGTGAATCAGCTGGCTTTAAATACTGCTGTCCTGGAGGGCTGCAGGGGAAATGGAAGCAGCGTTTTGCTACTGTGATCAATAGCTAAGTGCCTTCCTGGCATTTGTCTATTTAATCCATTATCGAAGGCCATTTGAGCCATGTGGCGTAAGACCCTCAGCTCACAGGGGGTGATAGATGGATGCAGGATACATGTGAGCGACACACCCCCGCAATCCTGCTCACGTGTGGAATAACCCCGCACAAATACTACTAATGAGAACACTGGCCATCATACAGAACAGTGGTTCCCAACCTTTTTTCCCCAAGAGCCCCCCCAAATGACTCCTGTTGGAAAAGTCAATCAAAATAAACTACAAAATGGAGGAGACCGATCTGATTGGACCAACTGTGACAAATAATCCAACTGAAACCGGCATGGACAATGACTATGTTTTAAAAATGCGCTTATCCAGAAAAGCCTGGTTTGGACACTTTACGGACAGAAGAAACATTTCTATTAAAGAAAGAATTATACATTTCTGTCTTTTTATACCTTTAGCTACTAACTTGAATTGTTATTGAAATCAATTAATCAATTATTTTTTATATTTTATTGTAATGTAGAGACAAGGCTTTTAGTGACAATCATGTATTGCTTTACAATTATATGTAAAGAAAAAAAGAAAAAGAAAAAGTCTAAATATGATATTTGGCCTCAAATAGTCTGAGGCCTGGCGCCCCCCCTGCGATCTTTGGCGCGCCCCCCAGGTTGGGAACCACTGATACAGAAGATAGCTGACGTGACATTTTTGCATTACAAATGTTTGCGGTGAAAAATAAACCAGAGCAGGACGGTCAGCAATTACAGAATCACAAGATATCCTTTATTTTGGATTGTCAGAGAGAGAGACTGAGGAAGAGCAGGGAAGGACAGAGGGATTTGTCATTGGACTAAGATGTCCTTTCAATGTAAGAGTGATGCAATAGCTGCCAAAGTGATGTGCTATCTACAAGTCAGGCTAGGCGTATGTGCATGTTCACATGTACAGTGTCTATGTTTAACCACCACAACCAAGCAATCATCAAATCCAAAAGTGGGTATGTGGCAGCACTTCAGAGGTGTTCAGTAAAGACTGTGCAGCACTGAGGTAGGTTGGTGACAAAAGAAAGACCTGAAGATCTTTCCCACAGACGGGTGTCACAGAATAACATTTTGCTTACTAATTCCTTGATTTCAGTACTTATTAACTTGCACGGATTGTTTAATCTCACTCCAGATCCACTCAAATTTAAGAACCTTTTTAATCAAGAACATGTACAAACTGCCCCAAATGATCAATAAGACAATGTATATTTTCATGGATACCAAAGCGTAGCTACATTGCCTGTTCCAAACATAAATAGTACTCAGTTTCCTGCAGTGTGTGGCCATGTGGAAAACCATGTGGTTGGCAGGTTAATGATTACAATGGAAAACAACCTGTTGACTCAGGGTAGGAGGGAGATAGCAGCCAAATCAAATGTCCCCAAATTCACTTTGTGAAACCAGTCGAGGAGTACAAATAGACCGAAACACACAGCAGTACATTTTCAGTGATACTGAAAGAGGGTATATTACCTTTAAGCAAACTACAGTAAGCTTTTTTAACTGCAGTAATGGTTGTAATAGTAGAATAATATGAAGGTGATGTTTGAGAAAAGTAACCATAGCTGGAAAGATGGTACTTTTGTTATAAGACAGTCGAACAACTATGCAAACCCACCTTCTGTTATTTTACAGGCTCACCATCAACCAATAACCAACCAAATCAAAAGTCAACAAATCAAAACCATTGTCAACTCTAGAGCTCAAAGTCTTCAACCACCAGTGTCCCCAACAGATAAAAATAGGACAGTGAAATAGCTATATCCTTTAAAAAAGGAAAGACAGAATATCTATTACAATAACAATTCATGACAACGTTTTGCCACTGTTATGCCTCATTTATCCAACTTTAAAAAATAGCCACCATTAAAAGACCTTCCCCACACAACACTTCAGAAAGCTGTCACATTGAGTAAGGTCATACTACCCTTCACCCTGACCTTGACAAAAAGTGCAAATACAACTCAAACAACGGATAATGCCGGGACTTGAGTGGCGGACCAATGAATTAATGTCGTCCCACACGCAGCAGCCACATTGCACTCGCCTAGCATAGATGCTGCTTAGAACAGACGACCACAGAGAACAAAGACCTCAATTATGTGGAGCTCTAACAGGAGAGCTAAAAATGGGACCATAGGCAGGGAGTAAAAAACCTTGGAGCGCTGCAGGAATGCTGAGCGTTCGAGCCCCATCAACACACAACACACTGTCACTCCCAAACCCTGCTGCCACCGTCACTGAACTTTCTCCAGCCGGCATGAAACAGGGCAGTGTTCAAGTGTCTGGAACAGAGGACTCTTATGCTTACTTATACCCAAACTTGTGCGTGACTGCAGTTACAGAACAGTGCATGATACAGCTGGGGGAGGAAAGCTGTGTATGGTTTTCTTTATACCTTGGGTTACTGACCCATATATACAGCGGGGTGACAAAGAGGAATATTAACCCATGAAAGGCACGTTCACTATCTTGAAAGAGGCGTTTGAACTTCATGCAACAAAGACAGATACATCTCCATACACTATGCAAAAATGCCCAGCACAATAAGATTTTTTTTCAAACAAAAAGTTCAGTTTTATCTACAAATACAATAGTGTAGCTTGTTCCCAACTTCAGATTTCATCTCAGAGTTATTGGCAGAAAGCATACGTTTAAGTTCCCAGTCTTGTTGGAACATTTCAGTTTTTATCTTTGGCCAGTATTGAGAAACAATTTGTACGCTTGCATAGAACATTAGGGTTCACTAAGTAGAATCTCAATTCTCCGAATGGCAACTATTTTTAAAAGATGAGGTATTTATTGCCCAACAAATAAGAAGTCAGCCATAGACGCAAACAGAGGTTTCGCTTTGGCATGTTGGTACAGGGTCAGAGGAGAAAAGAAAGGGCGTTCAGAACCACCAACAATATACACTGTCATTTTATCATATGTCAAATGGAGTCAATTGAAACTAAGCTTAAGCCTGTTGATTACACTTTAGAAAAACTGCTTTGGAAAGCCACAGTAAACTGCCCTGCATGACAGCAGCGTGCATACCTAGTTTCTCCACGAGTTTGAGCATGACTCCGCCAATGTGGATTTCTCCAGTCACCCTCAGCGACACGTCCCTCTTGAGGTCGGTGACATGCATCTTCAGTTCCCACGTCCCGTCGGCGTAGTGGCCATCGGGCATCCGGATCCCGTCCAGCGCCATCCTGCCAAACAAACCCACAGTAAGCAAGGGAGAAGATCCAGCTAAGGTTCTGTCACACTGGAGGGAAAATAAACCTTTTGACCCTTTGGAGAGGAATAAATCTGGTGCAAAGCCCATGCATAAAAAGGTCTTGAGAAATAACCTTTCCCTGCTAGATATGTTCAAACATACAAGGCTGATATTTCTGAGTATGTGCACTTGTGCAGTAGCATGTTACTGCATTGGATTGGCTATCACCTGGACTTTCTTTGCCATTAAATTATCCTTAACTCGGAAGAGCAACAACACTTTCCAACACTATGACAGGGTCTAAGGGTGGACAAAATGTGTATACCATTGGAGATTTTGACATACCATAATATTATAGCATGATGATAGGCAAAACATTTTAAAAGGGGGCCTCCAGTGATATCTAGCTTGGCACTTCTCATCCATTAACAACAGTTTTATTACGTCTGGAAAAAGTTTCCCTGATGAAGTCATAGTGATGTCATCAGGGTTTCTGTACAGTATCATCTTGAACTGGGATTACAGATGTATAATAAAAACAAAAAGCCTACGATACACACTGGAAATTGGAATTGGAAGAATGTAAGCATTTCTCAGACAAAGTACAAAACTAAAAATGGTAGGCTATTGTTAATAGAGTAATTGTTTCATCAAAATTATAACATTTCTCGATTTGTCAGAATGCAAAACATTGGATTTAAGAAAAAGACATTTTCATCTTAATACCTTTTTAAATAAAGTGTTTCAATTGCTTTTAAGTTGATATAGATACAAATCAGAATATTAATTTGCATATAGCCTACTGTGATAGAGGCTTTCATATAACCCTCCTCTAACAGGGTTCATCTTCATTTTGAGCACTTTAACTTTCTATAGTTCAGTAAACCATTGAATACTTACTAGAATACTTATATTTATACACATTTCATAAAGTATCTTCTCCCAACGTTAGAATAAGAAAAGCTACAATGATAGCAGGTATTTTAGCTCACACTCATTTGAGCCTACAGGATGAATTAGAAAGTGATGAAGGTGAATAAATCATCACTGAGATCAGACTCGCCCTGTTGTATGAAGTCACTGCCAGAAAGTAATATTATAGCCTATCTGTCATTCTTTGATGTGAGGTTGTCCAGTAGAGAGTGGCCTGGCGATCAAAACAGCCGTCTAATCGATAAACACCGCAGAACAAAGGCTAAAGACCCGCGGCTACAAGTTCAATAAAGACCTTTAGGAGCTATTATCCCCGCAAAAGTGGCGGTTCACCTGTTAAAAAATAACGGTAAATGCTCTCTCAAATAGCAGAGGGTAATTATGTAAGCACAGTCTGTAGCCTACCACAGCTCCGCGGCTACATGCACACTTACTGAGTCAGTCAGGCTGGTTTTAAGGCAGTAAGTTAAGTAGAAAGTGTGTTTTAACGCAGACAAAGTGCTAACATTAGCAAAAGAGTTGTTACTTGAAGCGCAGTAGTGTAACATAAGCAGTAAACCACGTCAACGAAAAAACATATTTCATAGCGGCAACGAGCAGAGCTTTGAGGACGAACATTAAATCTGGGCACTCACCTTCACAAAGACGGAAAAAAGACACTAAAACAGTCGACTAAACGGTGCAAAACAAGTTCCCCCTCTTTAAATCATGTATGGAGGGTTTTTAAGACAATAAAAACAGAAAGAATCCCCGAAGAAGTCGCTGGAGAAGTGAAGTATCCCAAACAGTTTTCCTGCAGGCTTCGGCTTAATGGAGTCCAGCCGTCCCTCTTTCCCCCTCCCTCTTTCCAGCAGCGGATAACGTCACTGCTCCAATCCCACTTTTCCTTTCATACTGGGAGCTGTCCTGGTCGCCTACTGGCCCCCTGTCACCTCACACACACACACACACACACACACACACACACACACACACACACACACACACACACACACACACACACACACACACACACACACACCACACACACACACACACACACACACACACACACACACACACACACACACACACACACACACTCAGGAATTGTACAGGACCCGTGAGTGTGTTCTCCCTTTTTTACCTGTTTTGTTCACACTTTGTAGAAATACAAGTCATGCTTTGTATGATTATTTTTGACCATCAGTTTGGTCTGATATTCACCTTTTACACATTTTATAACAGTCAAGCAAAATCTGACACAATGTTCCCCTTCAGTAAGCTAATTCACTGGGGAAAAAATCATGTGAATTGATTTACTATTTATTTATGTCATTTAAATGCACTTTCCTGTTCTTATACTTCACTTGCTGTAGAAGGGTTTGAACTATTAAAGAAAGGAACCATTAATATTTCATAATTGAACTGAAAATGTAATATTTATCTTTAATCTGTGAATATTCTTCCCCTTAACTGGTGTTATGGTGCTGGCAAGTAATACAAACAATATTTCACTTTTGACATATAATAATGGCATACTTTTGAAACTATCTACCAAAAATCAAGTATTCATGTGAGTTTTAGCATCAATATCACACAAAGAGTGCCTTTCGAAATACAAATACAAATAAATATCAGCAATACAGTATGTTAATGTGAACAGAATAAGTGTTTGTATTTTGTTTTTATTACAGATTCTGTCAAACTGCAGCCCTCTGCAGTACAACATTCAACGCTGCGTGATAATGGACATGCAGTGAAGACCTCAAGCTGCCTTTTATGGCAATAATGCTGCTGAGCCTGCAGCAGCATCCAGGGACCTTTGGGTCTTTAGCCCAGGGAGTAACAGCACAACACAAGGCATGTTGACTTTGTCCCTTTAAGAGTTTTAATAACTAAAACGTTTCTCCGAGGTCTCTCTTTAAGTGTTTCTCAATGTTGGTTTCCAGTAGGGACTCATTTATTGAAACTAAAAGCCGCAGTGGAAGACTGTGAAGTGTAGAAATAAGCCAAGGTATACAGATATCTGCTTTTATTCCTGACACATTACATTAAGCAGCATTAAGTAGCTGGCATGTGGAGGTCTGTCAAACTACTTAACAAACTATTTCGGTTAAGGTAAAGAAATATGTTCCTAATTCATTATTTAATCTAACACAAATGTTTATTCTGGAGCGAAACAAGAACATACAACAGCAGAAAGATATGAGAAAATTGAAAGATAGAAGGTACATTAGTATACTCTATTATAAATAGAGTTACTTCCCCTGATATCAGTTTATTTGTGTCCTGCATATTTCACTTTCACACAAGGTGAGTCATCACAGTGTATCAGGAAGTTATTAAATTACTGAAATGTTATAAGAGTTTATTTTGATTTGCTATAGACTTTAGACACCTAAAACCATCTGCAGCAGTCTCCCAAATATAGCCCTGTTACTATGAGAATATAATCTTGTGCAGGTCAACATCACACATCATGGATCATTGCAAAAGAATACAATAGCATATCATCAGTGTGTAGCTTTCCTAAAAGACAAATGCACCACACTGAAGATCATCTGGTTGTTGCTCACGTCTAAACTGCAGCAGATGAAAAATTGAGTTTTACGAGTGCATTCTAACAAATGATCAGTTGGGGATTGAGGATAAAGAAAGGCTCCCGTCTCATTTCTTTCCAAAGCACAATGCACTCTCCAGCGCACGCTCTCCAAGTGGTCTGCAGTGAACACTCATGAATCATCATCGTTGCTGGCTCGGCTTCCCGGTGAACTCGCTCAGCTCCAGCCCTGCAGCTCAGGAATCTGGGTCTTCAGACCACGGTCTGCATCAAAGCGATTTATAACGTCTCTCCCTGCAGCTCGGACCCCCTCGTCAGTGTCTGGCAGCAGACCCATTGCCTTTTATAGGCTGTGTTTTAATTGCAGAGTAAACATTTGAGTCAGTCCGATGCAGAGCAGGGGAGTCAGATGGAGAGGAGAGATGGCTTGGCTGATGTGGAGGGAGGAGGTGAGGACGAGGAGGAAGGAGAGGAAGGGGATGTGAGGGGAGGGCTTCAAAAAGATTACTCTCTGCATCAGTTGGGGGGAAAACAATAAAGGTTTATAAGCATTTGGATGTAGTTAATGATAAAAGTATCTTGACTTAGACATCTGTTTAATTTACAGATCCACATTTATATATTACATTTGGTTTCTTATATTTCATTTTGTATGTATATGCTTTTCTTATTCCTGAATTTTATTTGCATCATGATGCCTCTTGTTCTTTTTTTATTATGGATATAGTGTTGCATTGTTGAAGGTCAGGAGTCTGAGACTTAGAATTGACATTGCCAAATATTGCCCTTTAGCTATTGTGCACAAATCAATATAGCCTTTAAATATTTAAATTGATATTTCCCGTAGATAAAACTTTGTGTTTATTGTATGCCAATGCAACATTTTCATCCTAAAGATGTAATTTATTTAGCCACAAAATCAATATTGAGACCATTAACAACAGATGAAATAGCTCAATTATTTAAGGGCAAAACATTGAAGTAGGAATGGAGAAGGGTCGCTGGACAACAGATGGTCAATGGCGGTCTTTGTTCCAGTATTACCTATAAATGACTGACCTCTTCTGGCCAAACTCAGAACAGCAGGGCCATGCATTATTTATGAGAATCATCTCTGCTAAACAGTACCATCTGTGAGCCTTTGCAGATGTTTCTAAACGGCATTAACCCATGTGGAAGCCAGGACTGCTCGTGAAATACAAAGCAGCCTATTCACGATCAGTCAGCTTTGTTACTCACACCATGGGTCGCCTTGGAAAGAATCTGATCTGAGTTTCAGGCCAACAAACAGCTCTATTGTCCGTCTGGAAATGAGCGACCATCTTCCTCTGGTGATTCTGACTTCCTCCTCCTACGCAAAATGTTTTCTGTGCTATCATCTGTGGGATATAACAGATTGAGAAGAAGAAGTCTTTGTATCCAAAAAAGGAATGCTTTAATAAAAGGAAATAAATACAGTGCTTTGGATGGCAGTTAGAATCCATTACAGGCATGGGTTATTGCACAGCTCTAAGGAAAGACAAAAACACTTTCAGGACATCCGTTAAAAGTTAGAGTGACAGTGGTACCCGACACACATTTAAAACATTTCAGTCAGATTACCTACAAGAAATTCCAATGTGTTGTTTTCTCTTTCACTCCCACTGACTGTTTACATATGGTGCAGGCCCTTTCTTCTTTATCTCTGAACATTTTAAAGACAACACATCTGTGAACACTCTTCCTTTTTGTACTTAATAATGGCTTCAAACAGGTGTCAACAGCAGTGTTGAATCGACAAAACATTTCCCTGATGCTTGGTGCCTTTAACAAGAAAATCAAAATGCTGTGAACATTCAAAATGCTGCATTAAATGCTCATATTGTCAAAGTACCTCAAAAATAGCTTTTTCCTAATGCTTGGATGCTTTTTCAAGTAGTGTGAACAAAGTTAAAAATCTGTGCTTGATTCAGAAATTGCTAGAATGTGCAAAGTTCACAAACATCTTTGAAACACTGACAGGAACATTGTCGTCATTTTTACAATGGCCAGTCCACAATCTGACCTACAGATACAGAGGCAACAATAGAAATGACTTTTTTTGTTACCTGTCTAAGGTCTCCAAGGTGATCGAAGCCTATTGTCAGAGTAACATGTTAACATCGCTTTCTGCAACCACTGCTGCAATGTCACACATGCTGAGGAAAAAATAAACATCAACGACAGGCTGTTTTTCTACATAATTTCTGTGCAATTCATTAAATATAGAAACACTTTCAACACTTTCGCTCTCCCTTATTTGTCTCTACTTCTCTGTTACTGAACTGGTCACGAGAGGCAGCCTGGTTTCAGTCAGTAGGCCTTTGCATAAATAACAGACATTAAAAACCAACAAATAAAATGCCATTCAATGGTGGACCAGTCAGCCCTTGATTGTGTGGAACAGTAAATCAGCAGCTTGTACCATAGCAAATTAAACATTTGAGAGACAATAATCAAGTCTGTCACATACCACTAATTCCAATCTGAGTGTTATTCCATTTCTTCATCCATTGAAAATGTCTTATAAATGATTTAATTACAAGACCATTAACAATCACGAGTTGTTTTCTACTTATTAAAGAATGCAATGTAGTTTCTTAGATGTGTGTTGGCACTGTCTTTTTCCAGCATCCAATAACATGACACCATGCAAAGGAAGTATGTTTTTGAACTTTGGCATGATCATTATTGGGCGTGTTTTTCAAAGGACCACATTCGACAGATCCAACATTAATGGGGACATTTTTTTCAAAGCTGCTCTGACAAACCTAAGGCAAGAGTAACGATAAGTAGAAAAAGTCGTTTTTAGAAAACCAAAAGTTTCCAGTCGTCCACATTTTATATTTTCTTGAATTACATTTTTTATCGTCAGTTAGTGAATGACAAACATTTTTAGGCTAAATAAATCCTTCTTTCACACAAATAAAAGGACAAACTGACAAATCCATTGATGAAGAGTAATGTGTAGATTGGTCAAGAAAAAGGCAAAATTAACTTTTGTTTGCAATTCATCACAAAAGCCTTGAGCTAAAATATAAGTTATTTTTAATCTAGGCCAGTTTTCATTGAGTATGCCTTACAGTTCCTAACGCCAAGCGGCTAACACACTAGACACGTAATGTTATTTGGCCATACGTTTGAATTCTATTTTGATGAGAGCCTGAAAATGACTAGGAAAAATATTTATTTTTTACGAAAAAATACATCTAGTGCCACTGGATTTAAATATAAAGATATACCTCTGACTTTTCTCTTCATAACTTATTCATAAAGACGCATTGGTTTGAATGGCTGTGAGAGTTTTTGGACTTTTGTATTGAGATATTTTGAAAAATAAACTCAGGTTAAGAAAATAATGATACATTGTTTAAGAGCATGGATACTCATGCCATGAAACAAGCCTCAATTGGTTGTAAACCTCCATATGGGATCTACTGATGTCCTGCACGAAGTTCAGCTGTATCTGTTGTGTTAAGTAACATTTTGTCCCTAGTACTCCAACTGTTGCAGAAAACAAAACATACAAGATAATTATTATTTGTGTGATTTTATAAAAAGTGGCGCTTTGTTTCTGTTTTTTTGGTGCATCTATTTCAAAAGTCAACATTTTTTTAAAAGAAGCAAAACATAAAAAAGATATCAGATAAAGGAACATTTCAATATATAATTATTGTTATGTCTTTCTTAATATTTTCAAAACATTCTTAAAGGGATAGTGTCCTAAGGTTAAGTTAGGAAAAATTCAACAATATTGTTCTACACGAGTAGTATTATTTGGCTAATTTTGAAAGGCATTTCGTTTTTGAGATGAAGAAAGCTAAAGGTTTATTTCAAAGATAAACTAAACATTTTTTTAAAATTATATTTGTCTTGGTGTAAAAAAAAAAAAAAAGGTAAAAAGGGACAGACGGAGAACACAAAGGGACCGGGTCAGGCAAGTCTGTGACAAGGCTGGAGAATGAGTGCGGGACAGAGGCGGGACTTAAGCTTTGATTGACAGGAAACATATGGACACTTTATCAACAGACTGCAGCTGTTTAAGGTTAAAGATGTGAGAAAAGAAAGAACTCTCTTCCTCTTAGTAAAACAATCTCCTTAGACTCTTATTCCATGTTTAATGTAACTCGTGGTCATACTGGCAAAGGGTGCACCTCCTTAGGGGTTCCTAGTCCAACATGGTCACCCTTAGGGTGCGCAAATGTGTACAAACTACGCAAAACGAGACAAAAATGCACATCGTGGAGTAGAGTCTGTTCGTCAGCAATGACTCCAATGTGTTACAGAGCTGGATCAGACGGAGATAGAGGAACAATTAGTGTATCGAGCAGTTTGTGTGCATGAAAAATAAAAGAATGAGGTTTATTTGTATGCCTTGTTGAGAAGGTGACACACCCCCTGCAGAGTTATAAGACACCGATAATGTGTGCGTGTGTCAGTCTGGCTCCAGATTATCTTCCGCTGGGTCAGGGGGGGCTATCTTCTGCTTGTATATGAAGGTCAGCATGAAGAGTGCTATGTCATGTGAGCACCAGTAACCTGTGTGTGAGGTCACCGCTGACCAATAGCGACTCTCCACCAGGCCCTCCCGGAGCTCAAAGTCGATGCGCCGCTCCAGCTCCACTGAAATACACAAACAGAGACTTTAGGATGGATTTGAACCTTCCCAACCCAGACACAAATGTTATGTGTGTTTGTGAACTAACATGATGTGTCAGTAATGGGGGAGGTGGGCCGGATCAAGGTGGAGAGGCCGTATGCTGAATGGCTTTCTGTTCTCTTCTGCTCCTCTTCCTCAGTGTTCGCCCCCCCCTCCAGTCCCAGAGACACCGAGGGCTGGCTGTTGGAGCGGGAGAAACGTGAGAAGAGGATTCCTCCGATGCCCTTCCCTATGCTCGCCGCACCTATGTTATGTATGGAAGAAAGAGAGAAACAAAAAGAGAGATGCATGTTGGAATGTGGTTTAGATCGAGACGAAAATAATAGTAGTGAGGCCTTACTTCCTTATCATTTTAATTCAATTTATTTTGAAGTATAGAGGAATCCTTAATTATTGTCTATTAAGACATTCTCAATCTCCCCACAGGATGGCACTGTTGATGTAGTCATTGAGCCTTTCACATTACACAAGTAGTCAACCTCAAATGTTGTATTTTTGCTCAACTTTTCTCTGGATTTAAATGTGTTGTCAGAACTCAAATTATTTATTAATTCCAGTTGTAGAAAAATGGTTTGTTCTTTATTCTCCACCCAGACTGTTTGCTCCTAGTTGTCTCTCCTCAGACATTTAAGTAGTAGAATATGGTTTTATTGTAGTCTTATTCAACCATTTTACATCTCTTCTGGCTTAGTATGGCATTCATCATCTAGATAACAAACTTAATTATATTAAGAGCTGATTTCCTTTACATAAGGTTGTTTTAAAATAATACTTCACCCACCAAAATTACTATTTGCGTATTATTTATTTACGTTTTTGGGAAGTAGTGAGCACACCAGCCTTGGGTTATATTGCACAGGTTGTGTGAAAGTTTGTAAACAGATGTTTTTATATAGTTTTGCTATTTTTAAAACGTGGCTTATATTTACTTCAATACATCAAGACCTTTCTGTTTTTTGATTGTTTGTTCAAAGTGGAGGAATGTGGTTTCAAGAATTCAAGGTAATGCAGGATGAGTACCTGATATACAAATGCTCCTTTTAGGATTTCATTGAAGTGATCAGAACTCATTTTAGAGCAGAATTTGAAGCGAGGGTAGTGTCTTACCCAGTATGCTGGCCTTGCCCAGGTTGGTGATGGACTCTCCGTAGTGTCTGCGGGCGAGAACAGGTGAGGTGCTCGGGCTGGGGAGGCTCTCAGTGTCAGACGCCGGGTCTTTCACTGGATTCAAGTAGGTTGGCCTGATCCCATCATAGTGTGTGGGACTAATGGCACTGCACCTAAAAAAGAAAATACAAAAACTCAGAAGATACGTACTGGAAACATCTTGTGTTAGACAAGGAATAACAGAGTGATATAAGATACATGACTAAAGCTCTTACCAGTGTATCTGAACAGGTGAAACGTTGCTGAAATGTTTTAGGATGAGAGGCTCCAGTCTGTAGGCCTGAACAGAGAAACACAACTTCAGTTAGCTTGAAGTACAGAGAAACGCCGTAACTATTTCAAGTTGTAAAATGTTGGTTTTAGTGTTGCGAGTAGAGTAAAACAGACCTTGAAAACCAATCAAAAAAACACAGCAAATATTAGTTATGAGTCACAAAAAAGTAATAACAAGGACATACTGTAATTTGACTTTTTAATATTGCCACAGGGACCTTATGGGCAAAACACCGTTCTACAACGTGCATCCTGGCTATTAAGTGCTGTCCTAGTCTTACTTTTTTATCATCTAAATTAAGGATTCATCACCCAGTCTTCACAGTCCTGAGCGTTGTCTTTCAGCCTTTCTCTACAACTAATGCTGTTGATGTATTGTGATTTTAAGGGTGTCTGTTACGGCTGCTGTTTTCCTGGTGCTATTAATTCTGTTGTGCGTGTGTGTGTTCCATGTAAATGAGCTGTGCGGTTGCCCTCCCGTCATTGGCTGCCATCTCCTGGTCCGCCCCTGAAGATTGCGATTGGAGCACGCCGGGCCACGCACTCCTGCTGGAGATGAATACAAAGCCTGGGGGACAATCATCACTCTGGAGGCTCTGCTGTGTGAGCAGAGGCCTCTCACTTGTTGCTCTCGTTTGTGTGCAAATGTGTAACCAGTGGTTAACTTGTGTGGTCCGTGTGGAACAGTGTTATTGTGAGTAGTTGTGTCTCGATTAGGTTAGTATTGTTTGGTTAGTTTGTGATTGTTGTACTTTGCCTCAGCTGTATTTTTTTTACAGCTTCCTTTATTTAGTTGTACCACTTTTTAAAGTGAGGTTTTGTTTCGTTCTCTATATTAGTATTTCTTTCTTCTGTATGCCATTAGACTCCTTTTTTAGAGTCCTCCTTTTGTTCGGTTATTTGTCAACCTGTGCCCTTTTGGCCACTTTGTTTGTTTCAGGCTGCCTGCCTGCCATTTTGTTTCACCCTGTTATAATAAAACCATTTATAATTATTACCAATTACATACTGGTGTGTGTTGCATTCCTCTTCCCCTAGTTGGGACGTAACAGTGTCCATTATCATCTGGCCGGGGACAACAGCTGGAAATGAGCAATGTTGGCTAAAGCTGCCCCATTTACTGTTTTGTGTGACAGTTGATCAAAGGGGACTGTCCACAACACTATAAACAAATAAATTAAACTAATACTTAATCACGCCATAAATGTGTGTGGGTGGAGTCAAAAATAATGAAGAAAAGGAAATATTGACTCCATATATATATATACACTCATATACAGACGCTCTCTCTCTTAATCAGGGTTTGTTGAGAGAGAGAGAGAGAGCGAGTGTGTGTATTAGGTTGGGGAATCCATGGAAACTGACCACAGGGTCTGTGGGATGGAAGACGTTGAAGAGCCGGCTGCAGATGGAGGTGGGCAGGATGTGGTCCTGGTGGCAGCTGGTCCCAGGGCGGATCCCCCTCAGAGCCAAGAACACCGCCAGAGGAGAGCCCATGCAGAAGAAGTTCTCCACCTGAGAGACAAAAGGTGCAGAGATGATATCAATGTAATGAAGGTATGTATATGTGTACATCAGAGTTCCCGTTAGCCGGTAATTACCGGACTACGACCGCTAAAATATGCTGAAGACCGGCAAATCTAAATCTCTCCGGTCAAAGTGTCCGTTCAAAATAATTTCCGCTTAGCGCAATACCACATCAGTTGCGCAACTTGCGCCATTTATGTGACAGACAAAAGAGTAGGCTATGTGACAGACAAGAATAGTCAATTCTAATGTCTAACACTTAATGTGGAGAAAGAGATGTCCTGTATGGGTTGATTGTGCGTTGATCTGTTGGTAATGCCTCGGGGTTCCGGTGGGCATGTAAACAAATGCATAATGCTGCGCTATACTTTGCGGCCTAACCCGGTTGCATAGCGACGCTTATTGTTTAGGTGTCTTTTAATAAGCAGGTAGTCATATCATTAGCTAGAACTAGCTGGATCTGATCGATATGGACATAAACGCGAGTGAAGTCTAATCTGACGGGAGAGAGAGATCAGCTGCTGCTGCGAGTCGACACGCAGCTCTGCATGATCACATGCAGCAGTGAGCGGAACAAAACACACTTCAGGTTAGAATAGCACACATAGCTATTTTAATTACCTCTCAAACTACCTAAACTAGTTATAGATATGTTTAGTTTTACTGTCGGGTCACTCATTACTGATCCGCGAGCTGCATGATACTGGCGAGCTGTCAGGAGAGGGAGAGAGCGCTCCGTTTATTATTCCCGTGTTATTGTAAGTTACTGTACACTTTTGAATAATGTAGTTAATCTACTATAATTAGTTTGTTTAATATCGAATCATATCAATTTGTTTTAAAGCTCAATAAATAACAAAGAAGACCTTTGACCGGCACTTTTCTCATTTTGTCCGGAAGATTTAAACTTTAACGGACATGTTGACCGGCGAAAAAATATTCTAACGGGAAATCTGGTGTACATATATATAGAATTCTGTTTATCTGTGTGAGTATTTAATTACAGAATTATCTTTTATTTACTTTACCGTGCAACAGGATGACTAACAGGAGGGCTACTTCTGTATGAGCTATGCTTTCTGCCCTCCCGCTTCTATTAATTTTGTTTGTGTTTTAGATGTATAAACTGTCTAAAGTGTTGAAATCGTAGAATAAATAATACATTTTAAAAAGGAAGTCTCTGGTATTTACACAAATAGCAATTGTTCAATGCTGCTGATATAATGATTTTAGGTTTGTCTTAAATGACATGCATTCAAAAGGTTTTACAAATAATAACATTAGTTGTATTATTAGTCTGTAATAGCAATCATGTTTTTAAAGCGTACAAATAATAAATGAATATTTTACATTAAATTTGAGAGAAGGACGGGCTGGGGGTTTTGATGCCTCCAGTGTGAGGAGTTGATTCTCCAGCTCTTGTAACCTGTTGGAAACAGAAAAGTGACACATTGTCATAAACCAGAACATAAACAAGACATGTTTCTGTCGCTGTAGCTTGAAATCACTCTCAATACACTCCTTAGATCCATTTGTGCATTATTATCACCTCGAGCTACCCTGGCACACACATACCGATTCTCCCAAAAAGCAATCTCAGTAGCACTGAGATCGACAACATTATATCCCAGAGGCTTCTCGTTTCACTGAGGTAATGGTGCGCACTCTAACTGACATTGCACACACAGGGCGATGGTGGTGCAGAGCAGATATATTAAAAGCCTCTTCCCTTCCATTTGATCATGAGTTGTCACAATACCCTGCTGCTGCACGAACAACAACAAGAAACAACAACATGCCACTGAAAAAGGAGATTTGATGAGCAGCACACTAAAAAGACAAATGCTAGATTGGATATTGAATTTGGAGTAAAGAATTGTTTGAAAGAGATGAATAGTTTGTGTTGTAATAATTAGGGAGCTGAAGATAAATTAGAAATAATTTTCAGAATAAAGTCCAAGCTACACCTCCAAGTTGTTAATTGTTTGGGATTCTGCTGCTAAGCATTTAATACTTCCCTAAAGGATTATGAAAACATGTACTGAATATCTCAATCCTTCCTACTTGTCTGACCACTTTCTCCCAAAATAACTCCTTACAGCTTTGAGAAAACATTTTAAAGGCAATCTTAAACTGACGATTTAATCAATAGTTGATTATCTTTGCTGTTTTATATAATCATTTCTCATAAGCTTTACCTATAATTGTATAATGTACAATGACTTTCTACTAGCAGTGTTTCCCAACGGTGGCTAACAGGTGCAAACGCCGTACCACGGCCAAAAAATCTTCTATTCTGAGAATTGCGCCGCACTTTCAAAAACGATGCAAATAAGAAGACGCATAAATGGGCCAAAACATGTAAAAATCTTCGCCAACTTGAACACACATGAGCAGCATTTAGTACATTTACACAGAAGGATGACATGTGATACTGTGGAGTGTGGACCATGGCATTCTATGCCAGAAGTTATCTCATATAGGCCTGTCTGACCAAGCTGTTGGTTGGTTTGCAAACTATCTTTCAAATCGCAAGCAATGTGTACAATTCAGCGGTCTCTCCTCAAGCTTTCTTAACGTGCCCAGAGGCGTTCCTCAAGGTTCGGTTGGGACCGACCCTTTTTACTATTTATATAAATGATGTGGGTCAAAGTGTTGAAGCCTATGTACATCTATATGCAGATGATACTGTTGTGCTAGCACTGTTGCCCTTGCATTTGAACGTCTGCTTTTGACACTTTTCGGTCACATCTGTTCCACCTTAGGTTGGTGTTAAATTCAGATAAGACAAAAGCCATGTTGTTTTCCAATAAGAAAAAGTTACCAACTGTTCTTCCCTGCATCATGTCTGCACAGCATAACCCCATTGAAGCTATTAACACCTATAGATACTTAGGCATCACTATAGATGAAAATCTCTGCTTCAAACCACACATTGACAATCTCTGAAGGAAATTGAAATTAAAACTGGGATTCATTTTTAGAAATAAGACCTGCTTCTCCACAAGTGCGAGGAAACGGCTTGTAGCTGCCACATTTTTGCCGCTCTTGGACTACGGGGATGTTGTGTACATGAACGCCTCAGCTCACTCCCTTCATCTGCTGGACGCCGTCTACCATGGGGCTCTGAGGTTCATAACCAACTGTAAACCCCTCGCACGCTGTACTCTTTAACTGGACATCATTATCAATGCGCAGATCACTGCACTGGTACAAACTCATCTATACCGCTATGCTTGGACTGCTGCCCCTCTACATGTCCACTTACATATCACACAAACAGTACAGCTATAGACTACGATCTCAAAATTACATCACTCTGTCCGTCCCCTCAGTACGCCCGGTGCTTGGGAAAAAAGCCATATCATACTCTGCCCCCTCGACCTGGAACACACTTCAGCAGGAACTTAAGCTGAGCACTTTGATACCCATCACGGATTTTAAATTAATTTAAAAAAAGCTGGAGAAATCATCTGTGGGTGTTTGCACCTGCTATATCTGACTACTGTATATGGATTTCAATGACTACTTTTTTACGTGTTGTATTTTAGTGTTGCCTCTAAAGATTTTACACCTGTATAAATAAAGGCTAAATTAAAAATTAAAAAATGTAACCATTGATGGTCCAAATGTCCAGTGCCAAATGTGAATGTGTACTTTGTGTAAGAGTATATATATAAAACCTGTAATATCCTCTAAGGCAGCGGTTCCCAACCTTTTTCAACTCATTCAATAAAAAAAATGTTCACGCCCCACATTCAACCATAAACAATATGGAGGCTAAATAAAGTTCTGATTGGTCCATTTAGAACATGTGACACGTTGTTAATCCAGTAGAACAGACCGCTGTCAAGGACTGTAATGACCGTTGCTAAGGAGGATCAAGACAGAGAAAGGAAGAGGTTCAAAATAAAAAAGAAATCTTAATAATGAAATGTTTCCACACATATCAGAATATTATGCAAATTATTTGGCGGCCCACTTGCAATGAGTTCGGGCCGCGGCCCACAGGTTGGGAACCGCTGCTCTAAGTCTTTAAACACATACTCAGCTTTCCGAAACATACTTACTTTACGCAAGTATGGCGTCTCTTATAATCATACATCATAATCTTTAAATGAAATCACCAGTGTGTCTGTGTTTCTACTGTGTTATATTCTATTGTTCTTGGTGTTAAGGTAACAGATCCACGACCCATGCAATTATCTACATTATCAAGCTGTACCTGTTCCTGGTGAGCCGTAGCTGCTCTACAACATGCTTCTCCTCGCAGGAGATCCAGCGCAGGTCCAGCTCCTCCTCCACGCCGTGATGCTCCTGCTGACAGAAGCGCACAGGATCCCACCCCGTCATGATGTCGTAGGTGATGACGCAGCCGAGGGAGTGCGACACAATGGACACTTTGCCCCCCCGCTCCTCAAACTCAGGGTTCCGGGAGCAGAAAAGAGTGTACAGTCTGTTTAGCTCCTGTGTTAGGCCCTTTGTAATCTGGAGAAACATGGAGGGGAGAAGTTTTGAGTAGAAACACTAGGTCAAAGAGACTTGTGATTTACGGTTTCTGGATGTGTGCGACTCTCACCTCATCCCGGTAAAGGGGGCTGTTGTAGTACATGATGTCCATGGCACTGCTGTTGAGAAGGTCTCTCAGTCCTCTCACTTTGTCTGGTGTGATCGAGTCTACCGTATCTACAGAAAATAACCATTATATTGGCTTTAATGCAACACAATGGAGCCTGAATTCATGCACTCTAATGCAATCGTATACATCAGCTCATACATTAATTCTGCCTTCAGAAAGATAATGTTTTCGGTCAGAGGGGTATTTAGTCAACTATAGTTTATGTTTGTTATCGAGGTTTTAGCTTGTGTTTTACTGGACTATATTAAATCAATTAAGTGACTACTGAGTGTATCTGGAGAACACAATACAATTAAAAAAAAACGTTTTATTTATTCAGGTAAGTGCTCATGTTATCTGATCTCAGCACCCTCCTTCATACACATTAAGTAAATGATGCAACATACAGCCTGCATTTGCACAGGGACAATGGTTATAGCAGTAATGGTGAATGCGTCCTGCTGTCAAAACACTTAAGGGATGAGTACAGCTTTGCTTCATAACCCTTTCTCATTAGGATACAACAAATGTACCAGTAAAATACATCAAGAGTTAACAAAAACACAGTTAAACTGCTCACACTACCAGCATACATCTACCAGAATACACAAACGTATGCATACAGGCATGCACAGTCTCAAAAACACACACAAACCTCCATCCAGTGCAAGTTTAGAGCGCCACTCGACAGGCAAGAACTCCACATGCTCGTCATTTTGGTCTGAAAAGTGCTTCTCCTCCATCTTCCTCACCCCCTCCCTCAGCCTGAATAGAGACATTACAACAAAGAGCATAGGACACATGAGGACATCGCACACTGAGATCTGTATTCCTTAAGAGTGCATTTGGGATTGTGTGGAGTGTTATGCCAAAACCTTCAAATACAAAAAGCAGAAGATTGCTTGAAAATAGTGATGATCAGATTGTCACGGTAGCAGCAATGTATATCTGGCCATGCGACAGACTGAAGATGGAGTCTGTGTTTGCACTTGTTCTCGACTTTAATGAATGTCGGCAAGCGAAGAATGAGGCTCATTTTGCTTCTCCCTGATGCAGCACACAAACAATGGCTGCAATGCTCCTAGTCCTAAATGGGGCAACATTAGCTCACAGGAAACTCTAAATACACAGAGATGGAGAAACAGGGTGAGGTAAGTTGTTTGCATGGGTTAATGGAGGCTATTACGTGACTGCTCTGTGAATGGAGCACCTAATGCAGGTTTTGACAGGACTGTCTGCAGGGGATCTTAAAAGCACAGCACTGCATTACCGAGCTGCACCCACAATGAAGCCCTAGCTTTTAGATTGGACTGTGAGATTTGACAGTCCTTTTAATCTAAAATAGATTTGAAAAAGAATACAGTTTTAGAACATAATAATACCCTAAATTCACTGCTGCCGATGACACTCAGAGAGGCACAGAGATGAAATTAATTTAGGTTGAAAAATAAAAAAGAACTGGCTAGACGTGTCGGGTTGATCTTTCCTCTTGGCTGAGGAAAGTGTGTATGCTGTAATCCACAGGGAGCTGGGAATGAAGCTTAGAGTGCTCTGCAGCTTGATTTGGTCTACTTACCTGCCCTAAGCTGCAGCCAGAGGCCCAGCGTAACTTAGCGGCACAGAGACAAATATTGCTCTAGTCCAGTGATTCTCAAATGGGGGTACGCGGACCCCTGGGGGTACTGCAGGGGGTACGTGAGATTTAAAAAAAAAAAAAAAAAGGTTAATTAAAAAAATAATCTTAGTAAAATAAGTTAAATAGAAAACACAATTGTATATAAAACATTCCTAGAACCACCAAGGGGGTCCTCATATAAACATGTCAAATGTGTGTATTGTATTTTATAGTTTTTCAAAATAACATATTACTTAAATTGAAAAACTCCTTGGAAAAATCTGTTTTATAAAAGTGTTATGTTGTTTTTTTCCCATGCATAAAATGAAAATATCTTTAGTTTGTTGTAATGCATACCACGAAGGAGTTAATACATCACACACTGAGGGAACATCACTATATTGTAATTATTCATAGCTTTTTCGATCAAAAATGTTCGGGATCGGTCAGGGGGTACTTGGCTGAGAAAATGTTTCAAAGGGGGTACATTACTGAAACAAGTTTGAGAAGCACTGCTCTAGTCAACACATTCTGTACTACTGCCTGTAATGCTCATAGTTTAGGGACAGAGATGTGTCCTTGTACAGTTAATCACACAAAGACACAGGGTTGTAGCTAGCTTAAGTGAGCTTTTCAAAACTGATCAAGAGCCTATACGCTACTGAGCTGCAGAAGACACTTAAAAAGGAAAAACACAGCTATCATTTCCTCCATCAGGTCTCCTGAGGCTGAAGTCATTATTGTAACTTCCACACAGTGGCCTCTACGCAAATATCTACTGTCTACAGAACAGGCCATGCTAATCATTTTGGTTCAAAGTGCAAAGGTTGTAGGATATCCATATTTTCCCAGAACACCAATAACATGGAAAGAAATGGAATATATGATGCCCTAAGCATGAACATTATTTTAATATCATTTAGTCCCCGGATTATACAAACAATTTGTTTAGATTTTTGCACAAAATTAAGATGTGAACAAACATTATGTTTCCCATCAAATATTTCTCTATTGTTGTGTTGGCTGCTTCTGTATCTTGCTGCAGAGCCTCATGACATGCATTGTCTAAAATCTTTCCCTGCTCCTTTGTATTTTCTCCAGTTCCGATGCATTGTGCTTTCTTGGCCACAGTTCCAAAGGCACTCTTGGAATACTAGGTACAAAGTTTGAGAACAGCAGAAAAAGACAAAGGGGGTGAAACAGATGAGAAGAGTGGGGGGACCAATAACACAAGCTGCTGCTGCTGCAGTGTTATCAAAAGGAAATGCTTGAAATAACTCCCACTAAGGGTGGCCATGGATTAACAAAGCAGACAACGGTTCCAAGGAGGGGGTCATTGCCCCTGTTATATTAAGCCTGGACCCCCCTCTGGCCGCCTAACTATAGCACATATTTTTGGTAATTTTTTTAACCAACATTTATCAGCAGAGTGAAGAAATTGTTATTATTGATGTGCAGTGATAAATGTAAACATGTACGTTAACACTGAATCAATGTTCTCGTTTTATTGGGATATGTAAATTGTTAAGACTTTTGGAGAACCTATGGTGGTGGCGGTGGTATGCAACAGTTATAATATAATATATATATCATAATATATTCTGTAAGCCACAAATTGCATGTAACCCTAGTATGGCCTCTCCAATATAATTGAGTCTAGTTGCAATAGTTATACCACTTTTATTCAAATGCTTAAACAACAGCTCTTAACATCTGATGAGCAGTGCACACATTTTTCTGTTGTGCAATCTATACACAAATGTTGAAAATGTAACTATGGTGGTAGTCAAAAAAAGTGATCTGATATCACATGAACCTGCCAGACAGGTTCTTCATCAGTTAATAATTCATCACGCACAGAGATGCAAAGTTTAAAGAAAGAAGAAGTGAGATGTGTTAATCGATGACAGTAAGAGAAGTTTAAGGGATAGACAAAGAAGACAAAGGGAACAGCAATACAAACATCAACCTAGACCACATTTTATAACTGGATTTGATTTGTGTGCAAATACATTTGGCTACAGTTTGAGAATCTGACATTAATCAACATGTGCATAAGAAAAAACGTAATAGAATTATGTTTGTAATCACTCACATCCCAGTGTTTTTAATAATGCGTCCCTGGTCCATCTTCTGTCCAATCCCATGAACCACAAAGACAATGTGTGTAGTCTGGGGGGGTCTGTCCTCAGGTGACGCCTCCTCAACCCAACCCCGATGCAGTCGTGTGCCGCTGCTGGAGGCTGGAGGAGGACAGAGACGGACTATTATTGATTGCTTTTGATTTTAGTACACTTGGGAAAAGCAAAACATTTCGACAGTATTTTCTGTTCTGTATAGAGTGGTGCAGTGACAAGTCCTAAAACCCGGAAGTGAGTTAGCATTTTACCACTACCGGTTCCCTCGTCTCAGAGTCAATGGGATTTCTCCATAGGATTTGGGAAAATAGCTGGAAATAAGGTCTGTGGTTGTCACACATTTAAGACACGGATCACGTTTTGTTCTACGACATTAAATCCATCAGCAGTGGAGATGGTGATTTTTTGAAGTTTACATGTCTGAAAAACGATGGTTGTTAACAAGTGGCTGAATAGGACTACAGAAGTTGTCAAGGACGCTGTACGTCATTACGCCGAACACGTAAACACTCCCGCTAAGTTTGTTTGCCCCTGTTCTGCTTGAAAGCAAGTACCTGCCTCCTGCAAACTGTTAAAACAAACACTTCAACTTGTACCATTTTGAATCAGTATTTTTGAATATGGATCTTAAGTTGGCGTGACGTCGAAGTCGTGCGACTTATTTTTATAAAAGTAGGGCAGACGTGTGGATATTATCCGGCTGAACAAAACGTGCATTTATCAAACAGGTTCGTTTTCCACAGACCTTATTTCGAGCTATTTTCCAAAATCCTATGGAGAAATCCCATTGCTTTGTTGTCGAGGGAACCCATGCGCAGTTTACTTCCGGGTAAATACGTCATCCCTGCACCACTATTGCTAAACACAAACATTCCCACGCAACTGTGTACAGAGGCTATAAATATCATAGTGATGGTAATTAAGTAACGTGCTTCCTGAGCCCAGAGAGGCCAGTAGGTGAGACACAAAAGTCTGCTGTGACAGTGGCCCAAGACTCTGTGCCAGCGTGTGTAAAGCCTGTAGAGTGTGTGTTCTCAGTTAAATCCTATAGTGTACTCCAGTCATGTGCGGTGCGGCAAAGCCAATGGAATTTCCTGCTATCTAGATAGCACTAAGGAGATTTGTCATTACTGAGCATTTGTGTGTCAGAGGAGATTGACATGACCAGAGCCAACTCCTGCTTTCATTATCTGCCATCAGGAGATGAAATGCACCGTAGAGCTGAGAGAACTGTAGATCAGATTACATTCGTGCAACCAGATCAAACAGCGGACATAGGGTCAAACAGCAGTTGCCCTCTTTTCAGTGACACTTGGGCCATTTGATCAAACCGAGCCCCTGGGATTAGCAGATGGACACTGCGAGATTTTCTGGGCTAATCCAGTTAAGAGACTGAACTGTACCCAGCCATGTATTAACAGCGGTTGAATAATAGAAAATGGCAGCAGTGTGAATGCAGCTATGAGTGTATACTAAGTATTTGATTTGGAACACAGCCTTTGTCAAAATTATAGAAAGACAAATACACAGTTTATATTTCCAAATGTGTGGCAGGAATTTGGTCCAATATTTTTTTCTTTAATACTCCGTCATTTTGTATTATATAATGTACTATTTCAGGTTGCATCATCTATATTTTGTAGGTCATATGTGTAAATATTGCTATGATCTACTTACATCTAATATATAGTGGCTAGCTTCGGTAGGTAATGGTTCATTAACAGGGGGGTTCAAATCAATTCAGTAAAAATATAAGTATGGACAGATCGTTTCTATACATTATTATATGGAAATATAAAGAGTGTGTACAATACAGACCTTTTGAGAAGCCCAGTTTCTGGGTGACGGTGCGTGCAATTTTGGAAGTAGTGGCATCGCTGTAGAGGTAAACCTCATCCACGCTGTGCCAATCCACATGTGTCCGACTCAGCTGCAGGCTGTGGATGGCTGTAGGGGGGGGCAGTGAGAGACGAGTGAGTAAATGAATGGACAGAGAGAAACATATTGGTTTATGGTGTGGTAAATTGGGCAAAGCGGATAGGCAAAAATCAGGGCAGAAGGGTGCAGGAAAAAAGGTTCACTGACACAAAGGATTGTGATTACAGATTTCAAGGGACAGAGATCGAAGACATTGTAAGAACTTCCCCCAAGTTGCGATTTTCTTAAATGCAGTTACAAAAAGCAGAAGTCTAGGATTGATCTAATTACACAGCTCAATCAAATGCAGGAAAGAAAAACACATCAAACTACCACACACCATGATTGCATACTCCAGCTCTTGCTTGACTGTCCTGCTTTAGCGTCATCAGACTGAAGATATTATATGATATATTTTTGATGAAATATCGAATTTAATTTCAGTTGATTTTAATTCCTCTCTGTGTTGATGCTTCAAACTGTAATGCAGTGACAAGTGCAAGTAAGAGCAGAGGTATGGCTAGGGAGGAGACACCATTTGCTAGAGAAGCTCAGAGCGATAAATTAAATTGGTTGACTTGAGTTATTTATGTCTCTAGTATGTCCTTTAAATGTCCTGAGCAGTCAAGTTCATCTGGATGAAATTGGTGGAAGAGTTTGGCGTAAGTCCAGTGCATAGTCATGGCTCTTTGTACAGAAGTCAATCTGAGGATTGAAACCATTAAGGAAGTGGTAAAGTACTAACACACTTTTAACAGTATAGTCCCACAAGTTATAATGATATGAAGTTTCAAGAAGCACACTGAAAACTAACTGGATGTATTTTACCATTCAAGTAAGAAAATGACCAAAAGAATGACTTGGCCATGTTTCAGATCTGAGTAGCCTTTCCATAGTGTTTTCTTTCTCAATCATTCCATATTTATTCATAATTCCTTGCCCAGGAATGATTAAATATGATCATGTGACAAGCAACAAGATACACTGTATATTAAACAGAGCCTATGTGTTTGTGAGTCTCATGATGGAGTAAAGCTAGGCCTCAGTAGCCTGGAAGGCTAATTTCTTCATTGGACAAGTATGACTGGTGGGTAATGCAAGGCCAAACAGTTATTGCACCTTTGTCGTTTACTCTGAGGGCAAACAGTGTTAAAAGGAATGGCTGCCTCTAAGGGAGAAGGACAAGAAAGGACTAAAAAAGGAGTTTACCACAAGCAACAGAAGTGTTGGAGTAAAGGGCGCTATGACATGTATAATAACAAAAAGATAGGTAATTGCTTTTCCTAGCCAGATACAACTATAAAACTCATGTCCTAAGGAACCAGAGGCGAGAAATACAGTTTCCTCTGTCACACGTTTCCATTTATCTTTGCAAATTGTCAAATAAAACTACTCAACAGCAAAGCAAACATAGGCTTAACCTGCACCCCCACACAGAAGATAGCTAAACCACTCTATGACAGCAGCAGTATAGAGAACGTTTCACCATTTGGCTTGGCTTCATCCCAAACAATTTAGAGTGGCTTTCTTCCCTTATTTACCTCATGGACTCATAAGCTAGGTCAACATAGAAAAAGGACGGGGCAGTTGTCATGAGACCTACACACGGTTAGGGTGGGTCAAGCCACTCCAGACTGTTAAGCAGTATTGGCAGCTGAGTCCACTGTAAAACAGGAGGTATTAGTCTATATCATATAAATTACTGTATAGTAACCTTATCCAGCTAAGTGACTTTATCAATTCAAAACATTTACTTTGGGGTTGTACAACGTTACATCCTGTTTTACAAGGAAAGGTTATGTATTGCGAAAGGAATGGAAAGGCAGGGGATCAAAGTGTTCAGAGAAACTGGCGGTCAACCAAGAAAGGTTAAAAGGGTTCATTGAGGGAGTTCTCCAACGCTGCTGAGGGGAGTTACTGAGGGACACAGGATGGGGGGAGGTTCAAACGGAAGAATTGAGGGCCAGAGAATGTGAGGAACTGGGTAAAGTGTTGAGATAAAAGAGACACAGGGACATTTTGTTAGGGAGAGTTTGTGAAATCTGCAGGAAGCACACTGTTCGGAAATGCTTCTCAAACTAATCACTTGTAAAATATACCATGATGCTTTCTTCTAGTTACTTTCACCCAATGAGGTTTTATTACCTCTTGTATAGACCATTTATTGTTAAAGAATATGTATTTAATGTTAGTAAAACATTTACTTACTGCAGTGCTTTAATAACCTCTCATCCTAGGAGGCGTTATGTTGTCAAATCGCAGGTCAATGGTCACTTAGAATTACTACAAAATGAGGAGTCAGACCCCCAAACCCCTGTGAAGCATTTTTTTGAAGGTCAATACACCCAGAACTAGGACAGTGATGGACCTCTAAGAGGGTCTATAGTAAAGAGCCACAATGGCACTGTTCAGCTCATCACTTGTGTTTGGCTCTCAGAGAGCTTTGTCCATCGCTCTCAGAGCGAGAGCTGGTGGTTCATTAATGACAGTTTCACTGCCAGAAGGGATGAGAGTAGGAAAGTGATGAGAGAATGGGGAGAGGGGCTGGAGAGATAAAAAAGGGTAAAGAAGGGTGGCTTTTTGAGGACCAGATCATTTATTTAACATCCACTGGTTTAAGGGGACTTGCCCTAGCAGTTGAGTGAACCATGCTGCCTACTTACTATCAAAGCAATGAGCTGAGGGACAGATACAAAAGGTTCCTCAAAAAGCAGCAACAGCGCTACCAAACGTTGGGTCACAGCACAAAGGGAGAAGTTCTAGCAACTAGGCCCAGTTAAGGCTGCAATGGAGAACTATGAGAGCAGCCAAAGTCCATTTTAAAACAACCATTTATAACTGAGCCTAGGTCTAGTTCTAACAATTTGATTAAACAGGTCTGAACCACAACATCAATGAGAAACTAGGTCCTAGGATTGACTAGGATAGAGGAAACAAGCTAGCAGATCTAACACAGCAGAAGTAAAAAAACAAAAATAACTTGGCATGTTACAGTACCTTGGCAGCGTTTGCGCTTGTGACATGTAGTTTTAGCACTCGTCTGATATCCACTCCATTTGAACAGAAAAGGGAGGTAGAAAGGGGGCAGGTGGGAGAGAACTAACAACCAAAAGAGAGTGAATAATGGCCGTTACCCTGGTGTCAGTCACAGGCTACAGCTGTCATCACTCTTTAACAGGCCAATCTATCAAGGAGCACTGCTATCAGGTTAGCACCTTAAGGCCCTGGACATTCAGCCTTAGTAATAGTGGTAGCAGCGCTGTTTGACATACTGGCCAAGATGACTGAGGTAGTATCTGTTTTACACTCAATACAGACTACCTGCTGCCTTCACTGTCATCGACATGTCATTAAGGTTACAAATCATTTTGTGTAGTGTATGACACAGCTACTTGACTAAAAAAGGCAGTTTAATGGAAAACGTTTTTAACATAATATGTGGAGTTCCTTATGTAAACAAAACAACTATAATTATTGTATATTAACTGCACAATGACCACAAATTAGATAACATTTCAAGACCTTTTTTGCAAAGTAGGGAAACACAAAAAATAAACACAAATCATTAAATGTTCCAGACAGCACCTGAGGCCTGTACTACGAAGCCGGATTTTCGCTTAGCCGGCTAACTTCAGGGAAAACTCTGGGTTTCCGGTCCCACGACGCTGGTTCACTTCTTAGCGGGCTAGATCTCCATGGCAACTTATGCTGAACGGCTAGCCTGGTCCGGAGCACGTTCGGTTCCAGGATAAGAGATCAACTCAGTGAAAGCACCGCCTGCTGACCAATCAGAGCTCAGTGTGCGGAGTTTAAAGCTATCAAGTCATATTACAGGAGAAAGGAAATACAGAAAAGCTGCCGTCGCAGGAAAGACGGCCGGCAAAAATCAACTAACTGTGTGAATGTGAAAATGTATAGAATATCACCTCCCATCTTCAGAGCAATCTGACTATTATAAGCGTTCAGAAAGCTTACTTAAATATCTGCCACAACATAAGTAACCGGATCAGAGTAACGTACAGTCCGCGGCACAGTGAGTGCAGACGTCGATGTGTGTGTTCCATTATCATTCATATCACATCATAATGTATCATATATTTCCTTATCTGAGTCAGCTGAGCCGTATCTGGCTGTGCAACACTCACAGTGTCTCATACTGTATGCAGAAGTATTATTTTAAGCAACACATTAAGTTGACGAAACACTCGAGACAAATGTAATTAAAGTCAGATCCACTCGTGTTTTAGACGGGGCAGTGATATCATAAACCTGTTAATGTACGCATTCAAACACTTTTTCTTTTACCAGCTGTATTCACCTTGCAGGTGCAGCTCTGTGGCTTTGATCCTGGATAAAGTGTTTAAGTCATGGATGTTTAAAGTTTAACGTCTTCATATTTGTCTAATTATAGTTGACTTTTCATTCAGGAAGTATGACGCTGCGCTGTCAGTACGCTTGTCCATGTTTGTGATTGGTCGAATGCTCCAAATACCACCCCTTTCATGTGAACGCGCACCTAAATAGACAGGCTAAAGCTGGCTTGCGTTAACGAGTTGATAACCAGCGTTGTAGGACAGTTTAGCGAGAGCGCGTTTGTTTTGGATTAGGTAAGCCGGGTAACTCAAACATATCCAGGATAGGTTGAACCGGCTTCGTAGTACAGGCCTCTGGAAGTACTGAGTTTTCCACTTAGGACAACAAATAGTATGTTAATATTGAATATGTTGCATTTTTAAGGAATTGATGTTGAATTCATACTGACAACATACATACAAATAGATCTGTAAGAGTGGATGGTACTGCTGCTCTGTGTTCATTCATCCCTGAATGGCTTGTAATCAGATTTCGTGATCTGACATTTAAAAAAGAGCTTCTCTGCATTTGTTAATCAAATCAGCATGTCTACGAAAGTCACATCTGACTAAATCGATCCTCCCGTGATAACACAGACATTAGACTTGCACATGTCAGCAGTGTCTCCCTTTACAGAGGTGAAAGGCTGAGGAGGAGGAGAGACCTGCTGAGTGCACAGGAAGCTAGTTTGCTGTAAAAGCGATCAGTGAAGTCCATGTGGGCATTACAGCACTGATGGATCCATCAATCAGGAATATCTACTATATGTGGAATCCTCATATGGATGCAATAAGAACATTTGAATTCTGTGGTAGTTTGCAGTGTTTGTCCTTTAGATTTATACCACACTATATTTCTTTTGAGTAAAAGGCACTGTAGATGAACTCCTTTTCATTAAAAGGAAAAAGAACAGTTGCCAACTGATGATTTCAAACATATTTAAACACAAATGAAGACCAAATCTAACCCGACTTCCAATAATAAGTAAATAGATAAAACATTTTATAATGCCCAGGTGCTTGTTATTACATGAGCAAGTTCCAAATATGTTAAGCATGTGTCCGTCAGCTATCTTGTGGCGTGTGCTACAGTAGCTGATATGTGGTGTACACAATGGACGTGTGGGCTGTTCTTTCCTTAAACATAGCAGAAGCGTTATGCTCAGCCCTTTGACGTCGGAGAGGCCCGACAGACTGGGACACACCCTGTAGTTTCCACAATAGATAACTCTTCCTCTACACCCATATAGCTTCAAGCTAATGGATGGGATCCTGTTCTAATTCAATATTTTCTTTATCGTCATTCGGTTTATATTCAGTTCTCTGGCAAAAACAAATAACATTTAGCTAAATAAGGTTTGTAAAATAACATTGAAAAGATGGTTATCAAAGTTAGCCAATGGAAATCGAACATTAAAAGAATCCATCAACTGTAATACCCTTGTTGCCATTTTCAGTCAACTGTCTGCTTCTCTCTGCACTCAAACAGCGCTGTCTCTGATTCTGTCTCCGATTCTGTCTCTGATTCTGTCTCTGATTCTGTCTCTGATTCTGTCTCTGATTCTGTCTCTGATTCTGTCTTCCTCCTTTTCCTTTAAGCAGGGGAAAAGTACATTTATATAATGTGGGGTCAGGACATTCAAGCACTGTTTGTACCTAGCAGTAGCCCTGCCCACATTATGATGTTATGCCAGCATCGCACGCTGGTATGTCTACCATATCTCTTCTGCTTTACTAACCTTTAGTCTCAGCTAGCTACTCAGACACAAAGAGACCAAAGAAGGGAAGAGAGAGTGGAGACAGGGAGGCGCGAGATAGCCGGGGGAATGTATGTGCTGCAGTTATGTCCGCTCTCTGGCTTTATGGTCCATGTATCAATTGCACTGCAGTTCAAGGTAGCCCGCTTACGACTCCAAGTGCTTGAGATTATTAGTTTCTAGATGGAAGACTCTACTGTAAAGGCTCCCTGTAATAAAGACCCAAACAGGTGAATTAACTGGATCTATCACTCACTTTGCTTTCACACTCAGCTAAATATAGGAGTGGGAAACAACCTGCCAACAAAGGCAGCAGGGGGGTTTCAAACAGATGCTCACTGTGAAATGATATAACATGTAGGAAAACAGCCAGCATTGAGTTTAACAACATTAATTCTATAACGGTGTGTAGTTATTTTTACACTATATTAAAAGGTGATTATAGTTGTACTGCCTCGTTCACCCTTGCAGTAGATCACCCACTAGATAAGCTAAGGTCATATGATCTGCGTGTTGTGCAATGACGAGTGTGCCCTTCCTTTATATTTCACACACCTGGCTTGCAGATAATCTGATATGCCGGTTTCCTCGTACAGATCTGTTTGTACGAATAGTTGTGGACCAGGAGTGACCTTCTAGTTCTGATTAAAAAACGTCTGTGATTCAGCTCAGGATTGTGCCAGTTGCTACGAGCACATGACACGAAGAGTGACTGTGCAACACGGCGGGCGACCTATTGAAGTCACTTTCTTCTGCTCGGTTGATATTTTTATTTATAGCCCTTAATTTATTCTGAGTAGGGGAGAGTGACAATATCTCGACAGGCCAGCTCCAGTGCAGTGCAGTGGGTAAGAAACAAAAAAGCCAAGAATACATTACTGAGGTTTTGCATGATTAATTGCAATTTCACAGAGTCATTATGCAGTTGTTATTCAAATGTAAGCAAGGTTACAGGAAATAAGGGGTCATTTGATGATTAACTGCTATTAATTAGTTGAGGGTAAAGGATTAGCATTAATGTCCCAGATTACATTTGTGATGTCTCTCACACAGTTTTAATGCTGCACATTTAACATGTTCACTCTCGCTTTAATAGTGGCTGCAGTTTTTCTCTGTCTGCTTCTCTCTATTTATCGGCCACATTCACACACCCCCGCATTAATCACCAGTGAGGGTCCTTTAGATCTGGCTGCCGTAAGGAGACTGCTGAATCAATGAACCTCTTTCTTATTGCCTCTCGCAGCTAAAGCACTCCTCAGTCAGGGAGGAGAGACGTGCCAGAAAGTTTGAGCTGCACATGATTTGCATTGGGAGTGTGACATGACTAGACCTACACTCCCTTCATTGGAAGCACCTGCTCCATTCAGTTCTCCTGACTATGAGACAATGCTACAGCAGGCCTGTCACATCACTCACTATGTATGACTCAATGCTTTTATGCTGGTTTTATTGGTAAAAAGGATGACTTTTTCTTAAGATAGCATTACATTAATTCACTGTCCTCAACTAAACTCTACATAGGTTTTTGTACGAGATACTGCCTGCCTGCCTGGAATACAAAATACTGCAGGGTTGGTGAAGAGTAGCAGAGTAATGGTGAGTGAGCAATAATGTGTTTGACCTTATGTTGCTACTCCCAAACCACATGCTGACTCTCTACAGCATTCTCTCTAAAATCTAGCTCTATTTCATTCAGACTTTCATTACCAGAAAGGATGATTCAGTGCAACAAAAAATAAGCTTTTTAGATGTAGGGGCCTCTCCCACATATTCCTTAAATCATACAACATTATCATTATTCTTCTACTACTATACACCCTCCCGTTCGCTCACCATCTTTGCTGTCGACGGTCCTGACCACCAAATCCGTCTCGAAGGTGTCCTGCATTTGTTGCCCGCGGAAATGGTTCAGGTGCTCGTGTTCCATGAGATCACTTTCCTCTTCCTCCAACGGTAACCAGGTGCCATCAATAAACCACTGACCTCTCATGACTGGAATATGATCTTGCTCTGTAGGACAGTAAAGATAGCGTGGATTTAGAGACAAAAGAAAGGGATGGGAGCCAGCATATCTGTAAACAAATCTTTTGGAACATTTAAATGTACATCATTTAACATTTTAATTTGCTTTTTATGGCGCCGTGTGTGAATGACACCTCTTGCTAGGGCTGCTCAATTAAATCGTATTTTAATCGCTTGCAACAATTACGAAAACAACGTAATCAAAATAAAACGATTATTTTTTTATTGGTTTTTCAGTTGAGTTATACTGAAAGTTCAGGGTAATCAACTGTTAAAAACATACTGTTCACATTTTTTGTCTCCAATAAATGGATGTTTTCAAAGTCAATGAATAATCGCAATTACAATTATTGACCCAAATAATCGAGATTATGATTTTTGCCATAATCGAGCAGCCCTACTGCCAAAGGTTTCGCACTATAAATCACAGGTACTAATCTAAAGGTGATTGTGTCTACAAAGGCAGGGAGGAGGACAACTGCAATAGAGTAAGCAGAACTGTAAACAACACTGCTTTAAAAATACCTAACCATAGTCTCTTTTAAGTAACTGTGTGCATGACAGTGGGTGTTTTGGATGACGTAAACTGATTTCCATTTCACTCAACAAGTCTGGCGAAATCCAGGAGGGCCAAGTCTCAGTGGCTTGTGCAGCGAGGCCAGTTTTGATTACAGTCTAGTGACATTATTAACGGATCCTCTGGTGGTGAATAAGACTGTAAACAAAGTTCTGAATGTAGGCTTCTTCGCAATAGAAAGGAGCATATCTGTACAGAGATAGACTGCTAATGTGGACACATTTAAAAACAAGTGAGCATACTCAAATGTACTGACTAAAAAAATACATACTGAGGCTCACAGTAGAGAGCCTTTATCAGTATACATGTCCACTTATATGTTAAGGTGGTTTATGTCTGGTTACATAAGATAAGACTTCACGCCTCACATAACTTGAGGCTTCCATTTAAGTGACCTTGATGGAACATAAACTATTGCAAAAGTCTTAATTATTTTCTGGAGGTTTTATTTATTGGATTACATTAGATCATCTTCCCCTTTTCTCAACGTCTGATTACATGACCTGTGGTCTCTTAACCTAACTCATAAGCTTTTGATCACTTCTTAAATAATCCCCTCTTACTTCCATCTCACATGTAGTGCACGGGGTGCTTTAATGTTAACATGACACTGTGTTTGCAGTGGTGTATGGCCAGGACAAGCTGAAAACGCACAGCGAGAATCTGAGATAAGTACAAAAGGACTTGCATCCACAGCGTGAACATTGAGCAAAAATAACTGATTCTCTAAAAGTCACTTGGAGTAAACCTTTAAAAAGAACCAGCTACCCATGAACCCTATCATTGGGGTCAGTTTTGCAGAGGCTTTACAGTAACCGCCTACATTTGTTCCCTGCCTTTTCCTGGAAATATCCATGCATAGACTGACTTCCTTCCTGAGTTGCTCAAATGTCCCAACAGGGCTTAGTAATTACTGAGCACAGTGAAAAGAGAACGGCACAACAATGCAGGACTCGGTAACTAAAATGAATGGATGATCAAATGCTAGTTTGTGTCTTTTAAAAGGAGCAGCAATGGATGCTGCAATGTGTCTCTGATAAGCACCAGACTTATGAGTGGATGTGAGTCGTTAATCTTCAAGTTGTCAGCCATAGGTATAGGAACACAACATGAATTAGTGCCTATAGAGATGCAATCAGTGATGCGTTTGAAACCTGCCACCAGAAAATACTACATAGTGGGACTGATGCAAAAATATGATTTTACAGTTTTATCAGGGATGATTTGTTTTGATACTCACGCTTCCAATAAACTGGAGTGCATTCCCTCTCCTTAACATCCACCTCATAGAGACCTCCCCGGACACAGACGTTGAATTCATTGCTGACAGGGTCCCTCTCTTCAGAGGACACGGTGGATGTGTCCAGGGACACCCGGCCTAAGTGCACACTGCTGGTCCTCGTCTCCCCCGGTACAGCACCGTTCAGTCCCCTGCTCTCCACACCGTTATTCCCGCACTCTTCCTCCCCACCGCTGCCCTGGGAGCATGCAGCAACGGGGTTCAGTTCACAGTACTTCCGATACCTTAACTCAATGTTAAGCGAGTCATGCCCGACAAAGGGCTTCCACGTTTTCTTGTCCTCCTTGTAAAACCAGCGCACCTCCTCGGGACCGAGCTCCGTGACCACCTCATTGAAGCGGTGTCTGGAGCTGTTGGACCGCGACCTCTTCCTCCTCTCGAACAACGGACCCACGTTGCTCCCATCGTTGTCGCTGTAGTCCAGAGAGCTGGTGTCGAGGAAGGCTGTCGGGGAGCTCAGGTCCAACAACAACCGGTCCTGGGAGCCGTGGTGCCTGGCGTGCAGGAGCGGCAGGTGTCCGTCCAGTCCCGACTGCACTGAAGACATCCCCGCCTGCATCGTGTCGCCCATGGGACTCATCGCATGACAGTACGAAAACACATCGCTCCCCAAATCCCACTCCTTGTTGTTGCCCGGCAAGCCCTTACCGTCGGAGCTAAAAGCGGATGTTTTGGTTGTAATGTTAAAACTGCTCATAACTAACTGAGCAACCAAACTACCCCCCAGTCTGCCACTTCACACCAACGAAGCTCTCACTTTTACTTGCCAACAGCTATCGCAATATGTCATACTGGACAGTGTTACAATTACATTTCTAAACAAAACCAAAGACCTCCAGACAAGCTCTCGATGCATTTCCCTGAATGCCCCGAAGCTTTAGCCTGCTAAATTAGCAAGCTAAGCTAATGAAGCCGGTTTTAGAACTCCGATGCTAGCTTATTAGCATGCCTGCAACGTTGCAACCGGAAAACCTGTTCACTCTTTTTCTCCTCCTCGTAACTAAAATAATCCCCTATGAAACCACTTTCCTGTCAACGGGTCGTTTTCGTCCAACTTGATAGGCGGAATAGTGCAGTCACCGTACTTTGAGTGTGTTCCCGTCTCTGTGGTATTTCTGATTCATTCGTTGTCCAAACAAACCTTGCATAGAGACAGACCTGTAGTATGCGTGCGTATAGCTTGACAGCTGACGCATAGATCACAGGATTCCATCGTGAACGCGCACGTAGAAGCTGCGCGAACATGACGACATCTTTCTTCTTCTTCTCCTCTCTGGCCCATTTTGATTTCAGTGCAATGTTGCCTCCTATTGGCTTCGAAAAAAACTTGCTGTTTTTATCCTCTGACATAATTATGGCTTGCGATTTAAATAATGTGCTATTGAAGAATGTTAGTATTCTCCTAGCTCTCGCTTTTTTTTGGTGAGACATCTAGTCAAGTAGTGATCTAAGGTAAACATGTATTTAGTCCCAGTGTGTTTACTTAGGTTACTTGTCTACTTCATAGAACTATGAATATAGTCTAATAATCTCTTCCACTGCATTGCTATACAGTGTTCAATGTTTGGGGACATATTGTACAGACTCCAGGTTCACAATTGTCATCTCCCACTCAAATAAAGTGCATTTTATCTCATCCTTCAGATGCATGTTCCCTAATGCAAGGTTCACTGATGGTTGAGTGGTTTGCAACACTCTTCCTCATCTGTCTGCATCCTGCTATTGATCACTCAGTCCTTCAGTGATAATGCTGCAACCCTACCTCCAGCTAAATGGGACCTGGTCCTCTGCACTATACCTACATTATGTTCTTAGCCGCCCCACCAGGGACCGTTATTGCCCTCTACTCAAATATGCGGAGACCCACAGCAGGGTTGCGTTCCGAGGGTTGCTTTCCAATAGTCCATTTAGCTTAGGAACCTTCCTAACCAAGTGAAATGACCCGGAAGTACGTCAGTGGCAGCCATGTTAAGTGCCGTTCCAATTCTCTAAATGAAAGGAAAGGAGGTTTCAAACTTCCTTTATAACCAGGGCTGCACATAACTGGTGCGCAGGTGCGCATGCGCACCTCCGCCAAAAAAAGAGCACCGGGTCATTTGAAACAAAGCGCATTTGCGTACCAACATTGAGAGGGAGAGAGAGAAGAGAAAAGAGAAAATAGAGGAGAGATGAGAGATGAGAGAGAGAAGAGAGAGAGAGAGAGAAAGATATTTGCGAGTTGCATATGAACCATGATATGAACTCAGGGCCGGCCCGTAGCTCTGGCTAGATGTTCGCCTAGGGCGCCAGATCTGGGGAGGTGCTGCGCTGGCAGTTCTGGGAGGAAAAAAAACATTTTGACCGTTGGGGCTCATCCTAATTTTCGGCCTTGATGTAACAATATTCACAATTAAGTAAATGTAACACCCTTTTCACCCCGGTTCCACCTTTCATTTGCCCTGTACGATGGGCGCTGTAAGTGATGAAAATGGGGGATGTTGGCTTATCTGGCGCCCGCAGCTCACAGCCAAAATGCGAGGGAGAGAGGGAGGGTGGTACCAGCGCTGTTGTTATTATAATCTGGTGCCGTGCTAGCTGCTCTAACGGAGATAAGAAGAAGATGTTTCTACAATAATGTGGAGGGAGAGTCCTCTCCAGTCAGACTGAGAGGCTGATAAGTTAACTACAGCTCAGTGAGGTAAAGGACTCTTAGTCTAAATTCAAACGGTTTGGTCACAATTTATGTAAACACATATTTCCAAGGCACTCCTTTGTAATTATTGGGATAAACAGGTTTTAAATCATTCCAATGTATACTATAGGACAGTAACCAAAAATATCCTTTAAAACTGGAGATAAAAAAAAAATGCATAAATAAATAAATGTTAAGGTAAAATAAGATATGAATGAACAACACAAATAAAATAAGTTACATTAATTTGTTATTGGCTATGGTAGGTTATTGGTTATGTTCACATACTTATTTGATTACATCCACTTGTCTAAGATGACAACAGACTTTCAACCCAAAACAAGCAGCTAATCGCAAACTCAACCAGAGAGGAAGTAGTAGGCCTACATCATCAGCTACCATGTTTGACAGAGAGGAAGACAGTGAGGAGAACAGTCAGGAGGGTAGTGATGACAGCTTGTAGGATTACTGGTCGTGCTAATGTTGTCTTGTGTTCACCTCTGCATGTGTGTTCTGTGTTCACCTCTGCCTTTGTGTTCAGCGCGTGTGTCTGGCAAATAAAGTCAAGACCCCCTCAAAAGTTACGGTTTATTTCATTTTAAGGATGAGCACCAAGCAACATCTCCAGGTGCTCCTTTGAGAACCAGGGCAAAAAAGTTATGTGCACCCCTGTTTATAACCTCCTTTAGCTTAGGAACCACTGGACCTCCCTTGACGAAAGGAGAGGAGAAAATGCTGCCCCACAATGCATTGCAGCCACAGCATTTGCCATCACCATGGCCGTCACTCAACAGTCGGCCGTTCACGGAAACAACCGATTATGACCGATAAATGATATCATGAAAGTTACGAGGCTTATTAAGCATTTTAAAAAGTATGTGGTAAGTTGCCAAAGTGCTTTGTTCTGAACGTTCATCAGTATTATAATCAAAAAGAGAACTATGAACGTTAGTTTTGACTGAAATGATCAAATAAAGTCAACATTTCACAGTCTTTACTGAGCTGTGTGGAGTTTGTTCAACTTTTAAAAGATGTTTGAATGGTGATATCCACAGTGATAGATGTTAAGGACTAACGTTTATAATAAATACATTTGTATTGATTTTAAGATCTTTAGTTCATACAATAATACGTATTGGGATCATTTGTATTAATGTGGACCGGAGGGAGAGGGTGAAGAGCATAAGTTTCACTTTCCTTTTTTATTTCAATTCCAACTTTGGTCATGAAGAACATGTTTCTCTGTTGTCCACGTTCATAAAGCATAAAACAACAGCACCAGAGCACGGTGCAGAGTCTCTAGATGAGTTTACAGTAGTCCCTCGTTCTTACATCCATGTTGTAGTCCGCTGTATAGAAAACTGTAGTTTCCATAGTTTCCCCACAGCTAGGGTTGCCAACTTCCAGAAATGGAAAAACGGGACACATGCATGTGTCCCCCGCGCGCGCGCGAATATTTTCGGGTTTCTGGCGGATTTAGTTGCTTTTTTTTGTTACTTTATTTCGGTTTTAGGGTTAGGTTATTTAATTATTTTGGGGGAGCCAGCACCCTAGGGTTCGAGGGGTCAAACCCCCCAAAACCCTCAAAATGCAGAAAACTATGCATACCTATAACCAGTGTTGTGCTAGTTACTGAAAACCAGTAACTAGTTACCATTACTAGTTACTTCATGTCAAAAGTAACTCAGTTACTTTACTAGTTACTTACACACAAAAGTAATGCGTTACTGTGAAAAGTAACGTTTTCGTTCGTTTATGAAAGGGCTCCCATTAATGCCCTTATAGCCTTCATTTCAGCACTGTTATCAGTGCTGGAATTGGGCCGGTACTCACCGGTACGCAGTACCGGCACTTCTGGTTCTGACCCATGGAGTACCGGCACTTCTTGCTCAGTACCGGCATGCTGGCGGTACTCCGGTACTCATGCACCGTGCCAGTACTCAACACTCTCCCGCCGTTCTTATTATACATCCATATATATATATACAGCCGCCCGGCAGGGTTTCCGCTAGGATTTTTTCTCGCCGGTCAAATGTCCGGGCAGAATTTATTTTACCGGACACATTTGAAAATTACCGGTCATATTTCAATAATAATAATAAGAGTTGTGTAGCAGAGTTTCCGTTAGCAGGTAATTACCGGACTATGAGCAGATATGCTTCAGTTTAAAACTCAGTTCACGGGGCTCATTTTTATATTGCTTCAGTTTATAATCGTAACAGATCGAAAAATTCAGATTCATTTTTCAATAAATTATTCCACAAACAACAAACAACATAATTATTACATTCAAACAAACTACTTGTAGTAGATAACGTATATTATTCAAAAGTTTACATTAACTTTGAATAATAACACGGGAGAAACGGATCCTCTCTTTTCCCCTCTTCCTCCCTCCCTCTCTCCTGACAGCCCGTCAGTTTCTCATGCAGCTCCTGCAGCTCGCTAAACAGAGGGCGGGGCTTCAGGTGATTATGCAGAGCTGCGTGACTCGGTCTGACTCAGCAGCTGATCTGATCTCTCTCGCGTGTCAGGTTATACTTCACTCGCGTTTATGTCCATATCGATCAGATCCAGTTCTCCTGATCGGCCTTTATAGAGAGCACCGATCAAACTATTAAGAGTGAATATCGGCCGATAATGACCGGCGGCCGATCTATCGGAGCCTCTCTAATTATTACCAGACATTTTGACCGGCAGGTTTTGAATTTACCGGTTTTTAATACATTTTACCAGCTAAAAACCGGTAATTACCGGCTAACGGAAACCCTGCCGCCCGGTACTCAGTAGATGCGTCATGAGGTGCCGAACGGACATTCTCATCGCTCTAACCGCAGGAGTTTCACAGCGGCTGTCAGCTGTTTACTCCTGTCATTCAAACAGAACGTGCTGGAGAGGGGGCGGGGCTTATCTTCTCCATGTAAATACTGTGGTGGAAACGACTATGTCAAAATTAACCTATTTGACCGTGATTTAATAGTAATACACGTTTCAAAATAATAATAATAATAATAATGCCGAAGTAACAACATACTGAAAACTGTTAGTAAACCATGTTTTAATGCTTTACAATTTACATACCTAGATGCACGTGTGTTGTGTTTATGCAGTGCAACTCCCACCCAGTGGGTGGCTATAGAGAGGCGAAGTCCCTCCCCTTCCGAAAGCCTCCATGGGACCCCGGAAGCGGAAAATTATACATTGAAGTCAATGGAGAGAGAAAGGTTATCTTTTGATCCCGTTTGAATTGTGCCACGAATGACACATATGATGTTTGTCAATTTAAAAGAACATTTTGCAAGTCAAAAAAATAAAAATGTGTCGTAAAACTGTGAAGTTACACATTTTTTCGTGTGAAACCGCTCAGTGAACTACAGGTCTCTCGTCTCGCACAATACGCGTCACCAACATAAAGATGGCCGTCTCGTTAGCACATTTCACCACATTCTTTCAGAATGAGAATAAAAGTATTTTACGAGGTGAAAATCACTACAAGTCTGGGCACGTTGAGAGCTGTACCTATATGAAAGGG